CAGACAGCTTATATACCATAGAAACCGCATCGTAAGCTTGCGGTTGTATGGGGTTTTATTTGCGACATACATACATATACATATATATACATATATATATATACATATGTAAATACATATACAAATATACATGCGCACAAACAAATATACAAACATACCATACTTACATACAAACGCATGTATTTTTATTTGGGCAGTAAGTATTTAAAAGTGCCACCTCGTCGTTTAGAACACCTATTACTTCGTCTAACAGTTCTAGAATATTGACGTAATTTCCGTTACAGTGATTGAAAGCCTTAATAATTGATTAATGTAAACGACTGTTTATTGGATAGCCAGCAAGTGATAGAATTCAGAATTTCACAAATTTTATTGTATTTTTTATTTTGCTCGTTAAAATACKTATATAAATATGTACTATGTACATAGACATGTTCTTATTGATTGCTGGCAACTAATTTCTAAATGTGTCAATCAATTTTTACCGCAGGACTTCCGTTCACAGTTTACATGCTTACATACACATTTACATTCTTATATAGATTATGTGAGCACATCCGTATACAAGTATATGTATTATACATATAGTTTGTTTGTTATTATGCCACCACTTACAACTAGCCTAGCACCGCTCAAAATCTAACGTGAAATCCAGATAACCACAGCTTTATTCTTATTGTTGGGAATTTTGTCGAAATCCACATAATATGGATGACTTGAATTTGATTAGTTTTCTCATACTCTAGCGTAGCTATAATCGCCGTTTACTTTCGGTCATGTGACGTCAATAGCATACCGACATAGTAACCCATACTTCTACTAAAGCAACACACATATGCTTATGTACATATGCGAAGAATTTTTACAGGGCACAAAACGCGAAAAAAAAATTCAATAATGAGTAGTGAGTATGTTCACTACTTGTAACACTTCAAGTAAAGTTAGTGGCGAAAAGACAAGGGAGTTGATTGAACCGAAAAAGTTATATAGACATACATAGCATATTATAACTGAAGTTGAAAACTTATATTAGTTGTAATGCAGCGATTTTAAAGACTTTCGCAAGAAACAATTTTAAATAAAGAATTACTATATGATCTTTAAGAGGTAACATCCACTTGTGAATTTCAAAAAAATCGATTCTTTTGCATTTGCTCATACAGTTATTTGAAGATATTCTCTCTCATTTTTTATTTAAAGGGCAACTAGTTTCGTAGTTTCGTCGATAACGCGTGATTGTTAATTATGTTATTTCAAGCTAATTGGCTCTCAAAACTTTAAGCTGGTTTGTCTCGAAACGCTTTTTTCGGTATCGGTGATGAAAATGTCCTTGAAGTGGTTTCACTTTTTGAAACCACTCTGAAGTGTAAGTTCTTTCACAAAACACGATATCTGTATTTACCTAAAGTAATAAATGAGTGGTTTTTAACTTGAGACAATTGTTTAAGCAGAGAAATCTTCTTCATCGCCAGACGCATGTTAAAGGAGATCCTCTTGAAGATTAGTTACGGGATCACGGCAATTCCAAACATTTTTAAAATGAGTCGCCAATTATTAAAGTGTATTAAATTCTGTAAATTTTCTGTCATCACAAAAAATTTTTGTTTTGCAAGCGTGTATAACGCCCTCCTATTTGTAAATCATAATCTCAAAATCATATCCTCATTTTGTATAAAATTCAGACTGGATGGGTATTTAAGGAATCGCTCCAGATCGCCATATCATAATCACAGTTTTTGAAAAAGAGCTTACCTTTATCCTATTTCAGCATATTCATTAGAAGTGTGAATAAATTTCTTTACAAGCAAATAACAGCAGCAACTACTGGACAACATTTCGCCGAATCCATCAATCAACATTTTAATACTTAGAAATTATCGCCAGTAATATTCATTACTTGTAATAAATTACACACTTACACAATTTCAACAGAATCACGAAAATTTGGTTTAATTACTCGTTTCTCGAGAAATTTTTAATAACTTGGCACAAAATCAAGCGGAAATCCGATACCAAGCTCTTTAAAGTGAAAACTTCAATTACATATAGGGTTGCAAAAACAGTGTTATTTAATGTAATCATTTTCTACGTCAATGCAATTATATATATATATAATATAATATGGAGCGTTTAAAATATATTATTTCGCGTATAGAACTTTGTTTTTGTATACCGAATTTGTTAAATATCATACGTACATATAATATAATTATATTATATACCTAGTAGTTTTTTCTAAAAAGAATGTAAGCTTTTTATTAATAGCTTTTGCAACCCTACATATTTATAATTGACGTTTAGCACCTCTGCAGACACAACTACCGTTATGCGTCAGTATCCTTTTAGCGCGAATATTAAAATTTATAGCATGTAATGAATTCAAGATTTTAAATAAAAATATTTGGATTTAGTTTATGTACGTGTTCATTTATAAATGTCTTAAGAAAAATCGAGTTATATAAAATAAAAAAATTGTGTTAATTTGAGTGAAGAAGTTCTAATTTAAATTCTTCAATACCTTTGATGGCGCAAAGCAGTGCTAAAGTGAAATAATCATTGCAAATAAAGTTAAATAATTTTGTACGTGGCAGTTGTGTTAATAAAACAACGCTAATGAAAGCGTGATTATGTATTTTATGTATCTTGTTATGTGTGAAAGTGATTGTGCTTAAAAAAAGTGAAACAAATAAATTTACATAAGAAGCATTAAACGAGCAGAATTTATATTTAAAACAAGTTTTGATAGGAAACACATAGACAGGTAAGTGGAGCTCTTGATGTATATGTAGTGTATGTAATTTCTGTAGAATTAAATATAAAATTCTTAAGATGTTCTTATACGTGTTTATTTGATATCTAATTAGAAACACAATACTTATACTATTTGTTATAACTTCAAACAATCTCGTTGTTTCTTCATCCTGCTTTAAAAAATAGCTTTGCATTCTAGTGTAATCGGTGTAAGTTGTATGCGTTTGCATGCATAAGCTGATAGGTTTTGAACTCAACAGACCCTCAATACAAAGTATTTATTTCCCTGTACATACATATGTACATATGTATATATATATGTACACTGTGGTGTCACACATCAACTGTTAACTTTGATCATAATTTTCTTACTTTTCGTTAGTCCCATCATACTAATTGCAACCTTCGGCATGGAACGTTACTACGACAACACAGTGGTGGCTGTGTGCTTCACGTCAGCGGAAACATTCTGGTCGGCACTCTTTTTCATCGCTTGCATTGCCATATTCTTTTTGTTGCCCTTCATAGTGTTGGTGTTGCTCTATGTAGCCATTGCTTACAAGCTTTTACGTCGCAACATTGACTTTCATCGACCTACCACGGCCGCTGCGCATGTACGATCCACCACTAGCCTGAGCTCGGTTATCTTGCGCCAGCAATCATTAAACAAACTACCACTACAGATGACACGCAGTGACACTGATAATAACCGTGGCGGCACATTAAATATTGGCGCAAGCGCTCAACAGTTACGTACAGGTATGCGGAAACATCGCAAGCAGGTGATTTTCATGTTAGTTGCGGTTGTCGCCAGTTTCTTTCTTTGTCTTTTACCATTCCGTGCTTTCACATTGTGGGTTATCGCTGCATCGCCAGAGGATATCGCCGCACTTGGTATTGACGGTTATTATGGTGTTTTATACGTTTGTCGCATAATGCTCTATTTGAATTCGGCTCTGAATCCGATACTCTATAATCTTATGTCATCGAAATTCCGCACTGGATTTTGGCGTTTGATTATTTCCTGTTGCAACAAACATAGAAAACACCCGATCGGACGTGGCAATAGGCGCACGATTGCAACGACAACAACAACCAGCCGACAGCAAACTGAGCTAAAGCCACCAAGAACTTACGAACAACGTCGTTTAAGATTCAAACGCGAATCAACATTTGCAGTGAGCTCGTCCATTTCCACATCTTCAGGCACGGAGCGAAGTACTAGCGTTACTATAGTAGCAAGTCGACCAGTTATGGCTCCACGATCAGGAGTGGGTGCGGCAATAATAGATATAACCAAAAGTACTGTATCAAGTGCATGCCCTTTGGAAAGTGATGAAAACGACAAAGTGGGAGATCCTATCACTTGAGTGTGGAAAAATTGCACCTGACTGTATTTCCTATATGCCCATTGCAAAAGTTACTCTATAAGTAAGACTGATAAACCTCGAAGTCAATAATTAATGCTTTCAATTAAAATGCTTTTGGTTATAAGGGAGTTATCTGTGGTCCAATTAAGTACCTAAGCACATCCAATATTGATTTTTTTCATTCTTTCTTAAAGATATGATTGCAAGTTATATTTAGGAATAACGTACATACATATGTACTTAAGTATATAATAAAAGTATAATAACTTCAAAGTAAATGTAAATAATAAAATATACGGGCATGTGCTGCAAATCGTTTTCGCATGAAACTGCCACCGAAACAATACGACAAATACGTGTTTGTGTGACACTTTCATGCGAAAACGATWTGCAGCACATTGTATAATGTGTTATTTAAATGGTTGATCCACATTTCAATAGTTGAATGCAGTTGAAGATCACAAGTTATAACTTAAATAACTGGTAAACAACTATTTGCTTGTGTAGTTGGAATAGCTGTCCCTACAAGATATATAATATATGAAAACACGATTTTTTTTTTACTAATTTCATTTAAATTGCGTATGTCGTATGTATTTTTTATTTATTAAGGTAATAAACTAATATTTGCAGCAATTTAGTTAGCCAGTGAACCAATAGAGGTTGACTGGACATCTAAATTACCAAATAAACACAAAATTTTATATACTATGGATTTTTAATAATTATAAAATGATAGGGGAATTTTCAGACGCCCGAAAAGACACTACATCATCCTCCATTACTACGATACGCTCACACTTTAGCTAATTCCCCACATTACTTCTCATACCATCGTTATTTACGCATTTGTTTACATTTAGGTTTTATTTAAACATTAGTTATAAGTATCTTACTTAAAGTTTTTTTTCGCGCATTTTTTTGTGGTTTTAATTTTATATGTTCGCTGTCATAACATTAATTTTTGTTGCTATGTACTTAAAAAACGTGTTTTGTTTATTTCTTACGTTTCTTTGTTGTTGTAAACATTTTAAGTTGTGTCCCCACTATCATCCGATCCATTTCGTTACCATCGTTTATCATTATCTTCCATTTCATTGCAAATGTATTATAGCTTAAGCAGCATAATCATTTGTTTCTTTATGATCACCATCTTTGTTGTGATTTCTTTTTTATTTTAATTGTTTTTTTAGTATAATAAAATAAAGTGTGTATATGAGTTCACAATCGGAGTTATTCAGCAGCAACCTGATTTGGTATTCTCCACCGGACGTCCCTGATCAATTTTAACTTTACTGGCGTTCTCAGTGGCACTTGAAGGCGGCCCAACACGATTCTTTATCTCGGCAGCCATCGTCAGGAAAGCCTGTTCAACATTCGTTGCGTTTTTAGCTGAAGTCTCCAGAAATGGAATACCCAACTGACTTGCGTATTCCTGATTCATTCAAAGAAAAGCAAACAGTTTTATTTATGCACTTGAAATATATGTAAGTAAATGAAAGATGATACTCACCGCTGCTGTATTTGTGTCAACAACTTTCTTGGTAGTCAAATCACATTTGTTGCCCACGAGCAACTTGTTTACACTTTCGCAAGCATATCGCTCGATTTCCTCTAACCATTGCTTTACATTGTTAAACGACTCCTGGTCTGTGCAATCATAAACAACAATAATACCGTGTGCGCCACGATAATAAGAAGATGTAATTGTACGGAAGCGCTCTTGTCCAGCGGTATCCCACTGTTATGACGACAAAAAATATTCCTACATATAATTTTGATTTTATTGAACAAATATAATCTCAAACTTACAATTTGCAACTTTATGGTCTTGCCGTCCAACTCAATGGTTCTAATTTTCTGTAAAACAATTTTTGGAAAAATTATGAATGTTTTTGCTTATGGAGTATTAATTGAATTCATTATGTACTTACGAAATCTACACCAATTGTGCTAATATAGCTTTCTGTGTATGTATCATCAGCGAATCGCAATAAAAGACACGATTTACCTACGCCCGAGTCACCGATAAGGAGTAATTTGAACAAGTAATCACTATAAATAAAAAATATAAATATTTAATAAATCAATAAATATAATAAATATGAAACATATGAAACATATATATGTATATATATATATTCCCCGATGCCGTCTGTCTGTCCGTACTATTTGTCACAGGGGATCGACATGACAAGGTGTCGCATTATAATTGAAATTCATAGAGAAACGTTTCCTGATAGTAGTTTGTTTTTTGCTTCAAATGTGTTGAATGGGATCACTAATTCTTTTAGTTCCATATATCAAATGTAAAGATTTTCCGTTTGCCTCGGTTGACTTTATAACCCACATATCAGCCGATGTGTGAGTTAATAAAATTGAGAAAGAGTATTTTTATTATAACTCTGCACACTTGTGCTTAGAATGAATAAATTTGTGTGAAAACTCCTATACACCTAACTAGCAAGCCTTATCCCTGAGGGTACTTTCCTGGCTTTCATCCCAGGAAGTTGCACGGGTATGAAATGTCTGGTTAAACCCGGACTCAACTTTTCCTTACTTGTTCTTTTTATTATCTTTCATAATGTATTTGTCATGACATACTATTTGACATTTGTAATGTTTGGAAAAATTCTACCAGTTTTCTATCTGTTAAAGGACACTGTTTACCAGGGTAGATATGCCCAGCAAATTGCTACATACATAAATGTGTACAAATACTTTGTTTACGATAACTGCAAAATTTAGAAGTAAAAACCTAAAAAACTATATAAGAAAATGCATACTAAAATACTTAAAAAAAAAAAAACATTTTTTTAAATGCACTTTTAAATCAAATACCAAACTGAGCTAAAGTAAATAACAAAAGCGAAAAATTATCTTAATTCACAAGGACACCATTGTGTACCTGCCATATACCACTTATAGAATGCTTGGTTGAGGATATTGTTTTACCCAAATGAAATTTACTGCTAATCATATCATGTGCCTACCTAAATGCATGCAGCCGTACATACATATATTAAATTTTGCCTGTAACATTTCTACCTATTATATACACAAAACAAAACATCAGGGTATGAAGTTGTGGAGATCAAAACGAAAAATGCAATACACAAAACAGAGAAAATTAAGCAAGGTGGCAGTCAGTAATAAGGTAATACACGCAATGTTGCTGGGGTAGAGTCTATGACTGAGGGAATGGCTCACAATGAGCGTGAGAGCGGCAGCGTATCTCTCTTTACAAGTGACTCATCCGCCCCATATTTCCACACTACATAACTCCCATTTCGTATTTTTAATAACAATTAATTATTTATATTTTTAATAAACTGAATATAAAAAAATGATAACATGGACACAACATCCAATGTAACTTTTTCTACGAGTGTAAACACTCCCTACATATGTATGAGCACTGTTTGCCACGAAGAGTACTCCTATGCATAACTGCGACGTTGACGGTGAATATGACGGCGTGGATACATTATTATTTTAATTGTAATAAAAATGACGTCGCCAATTTGTAACCTTCGTGGAATAATATAGAAATATTAGACAAATTCATATAGATTTTGCACTTACTATTCTGGATTCATTGCTGACATTTTTGTATTAAGACTTCGCTTTCGGAAAACTTAAAACGTTTTCAAATTTTCTGCTCCGTACACGAATTTGAACTATTTTTTTTGTCTTCTATTGCTAATCAAATGATTTTCCTTTCTTCAGCTGAGCCACACTTTCCACTGCTGTTTTTTACTTCAGTGGACGGTGTTATATATACTTTTTCAAAGATTTACACTCCAGCAAATATTTAACCTAAAATCTTGATATTTAGACTTTTGTATTTACTTTAAAAACAACTTGTTTTCTATGAGATATATTGCAAATGAATGCTACAACTTTTATTTTTCGCTCGACAATTTTCAACGACGGTAACGACGACGAAAGAACAATGGCGACGAACAAATGACGATGATGAAAATTCACTTGTATATCTCACTTCCACGCAATCAATTGTATAATCTTGTCTTTCTCACACATAAAAAGTAGTGCAATTTTCTGACACATCGGTTACATATCGATAAACGATTAATAGATGATTGCCAATGTTATTGAAATTCAATTTTAAAAATTAATTCTGAATTTTCCGAAAGGAATAAAATCGCTAAAAATGCGACGCAACAAGTATATACATATAATTAATGCATTTAATTCAAATAAAATAATAATATTTTTAGAAAAAATAGTTTTACACTAATTATATAGAACGTACATTATACACGATAAACGTTCTCTGATCTGCATATACGTTCTCTGGCATTAATCAATGAACTGATTTACCATTATTGAATATTTTCATATCCTTGTTGCATAGCACGTATCTTTGTTCGAATATCGGTTATCATCGGAATTTAAAGCGTTGTCATAAAGTTCGGGAGATTTCTGCTGAATTAGCAGCCTCCGATGAGCCATAAATACAAGTCCATTCCGATTATATACTTATGACTGTCGTATGTGCCTACATAATCTTAATAATTGTAGCAGTTTTTTGAAGTTTGAAATATACGCCTTTTCGCGCAAATATACATAATTTTTTATTTGAATATCAGTGTGATTTTGAGTGTAATTATATAGGTAATACACATTCACTTATTTCTACAATAACTTTACAAGCACTATAACAAATACTAATTACTTTTCTTATAAGCTGAGAAATATATTAACGCAATGGATTGGATTAAAATGAAAGATTCGTAAACTGATGGATCGACCATCGCAAAATCCATTACCAGACCATCCATGGGATTGGTATGGCTCTTGCAACATATTAATGTTTTGAAATACACATACACACATAAATGGAATGCATTGATATTAGCAAATTTTTATTCCAACGAATTGAGCGTTAATAACTGTTTGAGCACCTTTGTTTGGGATGTTTCACGTATCTCTCCAGCCAAAAACATTTCGTCTACTACCGTGTACACTTTATAGAAGTTGAAGACTAGGTCCAATTCACATACGTTATGGAAATATTCATTAAGAACTTCTACGAAATTGTGTATCGCTTCAAGATAGCACAAATTATTGTCGTTGACATCAACGCATATGCAGAAATAAAGACCGGCGTAGCGACGGTATACAATTTTAAAGTTCCGAAACTGCAATTGTAGAAAAATAAATATTTATTTACGCTATTTGATATGAGGGCATTCTAACTACCACAAAGAAGTAATTCTGCCTTTCGTGGCAACAAAAATATATAAATATTAATACACACCTCCACAAAATTGGTATGCTTTGCATCTCTTACAGTCACCACTGCATGAACCTCTTCAATCAGTTTTTGCTTTTCGTCATCATCAAAATTCATATACCACTTAGCTAAACGCGTCTTGCCAGCACGGTTTTGTATCAGAATAAATCGAATCTGTGAAATAAATATATATTTAATAATAAAACAACGAAGTTGGTGCAACGCCCCTATTTGCTCACCATCTTTTTTAAGATTCTAGCTTTCTGATCTATTATTCCACCAACTCAGTAAATTGGACAAAATTGTGATAATGAGTTTCACTGACTTTTTGTATCATTACGCTAATTCAGGGTTGCTAACTGAGTAATTTTTCAGTGAAGCTTTTATTTGTATTATTTATATGAAATTTCTTACAATCCGAAAAGGTATATTATATGTAAAATCGATTGCAGTGATATAATAAATTAATTTTCTTAATTACTTAATACATAGTTTTAACCATAAATAATATAGAATAATAAAATTATTTTCTTCTAATTCTTAAATTTACTTCATTTAATTTACTAAAAAGTATCAACGATTACTTCGTCAAGAAGTTTGTCTGCCGCTGATGGTATTAATGTTTGTAGTTTTTATTTATAAATAATTCTAAATATTCAAAGGTACATAGTTTTGTTTACAACTTTTTAAACTTTTAGAGGATAACGTAGTTACATTTGATAACTAGTGATAAAACTGATCTGATTATATAAACAGGAGTGACAACTCAATATTGTATTTTTATCGAAAGTTCTATCGATAATTTAGCATCTCAAATAACATATGATTGGTTACAGCCTGCACAATTGACTGATACTTAACAAATGAAAAATAAAACATTTGGTCTTTTTTAAGTATTTATACAACTATTTATTTTAGAGAACATTGATACGCTCACGGAAACAGTCGATTAATTTTAAAATACAGCAAAGATGTTATTAATGTTAAATCGGTGTATATTTCGTGGTCAGAGTAAAAAGTTGTGGGCCAGAAGTTATACAGCAGCAGTGGACGCACAACAGGAATTAGCATTAAAGGAAAATTGTATACTAGTGGACGATAAGGATAAAGCAATTGGTTACAGTAGCAAAGAAGACTGCCACCGCGTGAATAAGCAAACTGGCGATATAAAATTGCATCGTGCATTTAGTGTATTCTTATTTAATTCAAAGGGAGAGATGTTGGTTCAGCGGCGTTCGACGCATAAGGTAAAGTTCGCGTTTACAATTTATTTGTATACATTTGATGTGGGCTAGGAATTCTCTATCAAACCATAATATTTTTTAGATCACATTTCCCGATACATATACAAACGCTTGCTGTAGTCATCCACTGCATGACATTGATTTAGAACGAGAGGAATCGAATGCTATAGGCATACGAAGAGCTGCCCAACGACGCCTCAGTTATGAACTAGGTATACCACACGAACAAATACAACCAGAATATTTTCATTACTTAACGAGAATACATTACAAGGATTGTGGAGACGGCGTGTGGGGTGAACACGAAATCGATTATATATTATTTTTGCAAAAAGACGTTGACCTAAATCCAAATGAAAATGAAGTCAGTGAAGTGCGTTTTATTAAACGAAATGAAATTGATGAAACTGTGTCAAAATTCAACGCTCCCCTCACACCTTGGTTTAGACTCATTTTAAGGAGTAAACTCAAAGAGTGGTGGGATAATTTGCATAACCTGAATCAGTATGTGGACACAAATGCCATACACCGCTTTTCGAGATAAATAGTAATTATACTGTGAATTTACGTATCGGAAAAATTTCTCATGAAATATTTTTATTTATGGTAATCAGTTTTGTTATTGTGGTACTTTAAAAATTAAAGTAAAAGCATTAGTCACGCAAGCCATTTAAATATTTTACATTATACATATATACTATACTATAAAACACATAAAAGTGTGCTCGAATTTATGAAGACTGGCTTGTACTTCTAAATGAATTTTGATGTGAAATTCTTCACAGTTAATTAAAGGGTGTATGTATATAATACGCGAGTTAAATTTTTACTCATCTTTATCATTGTATATTTCAATGTATGTATAATTTTTCTTGCAACTGACGGTTGATTAAAAAAAGTTATAGTCATTGATTAAGGTGCATATGGTTATACCAAAGAAGTCAAGGGCCCAAAAGAGTTAGTTGGGTGTGGTTTTTTGATTTTATGTAAAATGAATAAAAAAAAGCGATCAGTCACATTTCAATTTTTATTTTATATTTTATGTTTGTATGTATACAATTTGTATTGGTTTATGTATATTTATGTAAGTAACAATAAAGTACAAGTGTTTAGTAAAACGATCACATTTACCGTGTTACTTTCATCTATCCACTGTATTATCATGCGCATAGCTTACAACTATTTCTATATATGTATGCACCAACGTACATATATATGTATGTTAATGATTTGGGGTAGCACAATAAACATTCCGGAGCGCAACAACAAATATCAAACAAAATTTATAATAAATATTTACAAGTTTTGGCGTAAAAAATCTTATATAATAGTAAATCAAATGTATGTATATATGAAAATGGAGTCAATAAGCTTCAGCTTGACTTGGTTTTTGTGTTTACACATATAAGAAGGGCTGAAAGTACTTTCTTTTCGCGCGACTTCTGTTGCTTCAACAACTTTAAATAATTTTATGTATGTGATGCGGACGCGAATTCGTCACATTGCAGTATCCAATATTTTTAATATATGGATATATTTAAACGTGTCTTCAACGTTTTGTATAACTTTTTTAGTAAATATATGTTTTTATATACATAGTATTTTAATTATTTGGATTATCACCCATTATCCCTGCGTTTATCCAAAACCAACACGAAAATTACATTCAAATTTCAGTCAATTCCTTTAGGTTCTATTATTCGCATTACATTTAAATAAATATTTTAGAATTTCATGTTTTCTGTAATGATAACTAACTCTAAAGTGATTCAAATAATYTTATTCGAATCATTTAGTTGGTTTTATGAGTATATTGTGGGTTTGCATGCGCTTTAAAAACACGTCGTAGTTAGTATGTATATGTGTATAATAAATAGGTATCGATTTCGTTAAAAATATATATTTTTAGCATATTTTGTCGTTTCTTTATTTGTTTTTATCAGCCAATTGGCTTTCTTCGCACTTCATTTAAGGCACTTTCGAAGTCTTGTAGTTCTTAGTTTATGTAGGAATTTAAGCAAAAAACTATATTACCACTTATAAAATTTTGGCACTTTCGTTTTGAATTCCTTTTAATGCATTCACTCGTTGTGTAATTGTTGAAAACCGGTGCATGCTTCAATTGCTTTTTTGCGCACTAAGCAATTTTAAGACAGTCTACATAAGTAAAATCACAGCCACTGGCATTTAGGATAGTCCAAAAAGCTTCAATGCATTAAATGCAGTTGCTAAAGCTACTTCATCTGGCGTTTTCTTCATGAATGCAGCTATCATCTCAACTATGGCGGGCAAACTACAAGGTTCATTGCGTTGAAAAGTACAGTACCTGAAATAAAAAAGTTAAAATATTAAATTAAAATAAATGTGCAGATATAAATTTTATAACCAACCTATGTAAATATAATAACGAGCGTTCTGTTATACCAGTCTTAACATGTTGCGGCAGCTTGGAAGCTCTTGTATTTGGATACATGAAAGGCGAGTCCGTTTCGACAAGCAGTCTGTCTATAGGCAAAGTTCCATTTTCTAAGAGTTTGCGCACTCCACTATCTGATTTGTCCTGCAGATTTTTAGCGATACAATTGCGTTACACTATATACATAAATGTTGAAAACTTGACCACAACTATTTATTACCTTGCATAAATAACCAGTTAAACTAATATAGAATCTCCTATTCAGATATTCGACTGCTTCGTCTGCTGTGCCCATGAATCCTCTTATGATCACAGGCGGTAAATTCTCAAATCTGCAAATGCATATTAAATAGTAAATAAAGATAATAAAAAAAATAACTTTGTTTCGAAACTAGAATACTCTTCACAACAAAAGTTTTCAAGTAAAGAACTTAATTTTTATCTATCAGTTCGTATGGAAGTTACAAACTCCAGAGTATATACATATATAAACATAATAATAACTTACTTTTCCAGTATATCGAGTACATCCTGTTGCGCAGAGCGCTCATGTATCAGCAATGATTTGTTCAATTGGCAAGCCAAATGGATCTGCTTTTCAAATATCTCTTTTTGTGCCTCAGGCTCTGAGAAATCACGCTGATAGTCTAAGCCGCAAGGTCCAATGGCAACGCATTCCTGCGAAGCAGCAATATGTTCGAACTCGAACCACGTATTTGGTTCTTCGATAATTGACTTGGAGTCGTGGGGATGTATGCCAGCAGTCGAATAGATTATATCGGGATAAATCCGTGATAGACGCAGCGCTTCTTTGCTAGATTTTACCGATGTACCTGGAACCATAATTTTTTGAACACCTGCAAAAATATAAAAAGCAATTTTAATAAAAACTCAATATAACATATAATGAGTAAGTAAGTTTGTAAGTTTTTTTATCTTAAAACTTGCAATTTCGTTAATTATATGCAAACGACGTAAACGGAGACTTCCCGTAAGACCTTTGAGGTCAAAATGGATACACGTACATACAAAAATAAATATTTCTTATTTGTATGCGCATATTAATGGGTGTGTAAATATTTACTTATGTGCGTATATGTACATATATTAAAGAATACGAATACGCAACGCCTTGTTATTATCGAAGAAGATCGCAACGAAATCTTCATGAAAACAGACTGCGCTAATTGACAAAGTATGTATGAGCAAACATACATATGCATTCACATATATAAGTAAGGAATATAGTATGTTAAATACGTCAACCAGAATTATGTATATTTCTGCATGCTACATACATACCTGCATCTTTTGCTCGCTGTATAACTGATTCCAGATCACGGCTATATTTTTTRTTTGTTAAATTCGCGCCTGCATCAATCACTATGAGATTTTCGAAGCAGTGCTTCATGTCCACTAAATCTAAATCCACACCAACACCCAAGCTACCTGCCAAGCTTAAACCAGCACCAGCGCTAGTATTTGCAGCGGAGGCTGTGCCAGCTATAGATTGTGCCATTATCGTAGAGGTTTTGTTATTTTTGTTTTTGTTTATTACTACCAGTAACTCCTATGATTAATCGTGTTATCTATAAATCGAGTGGTGCTCGCACGTTGACTCTTGACGAAAATAGATATGACGAAATAAAATACAAGAGCACACGGTGAAAATTGTTTTATATGCACATTAATTATGATGAATATCTATCTTTGAAGAATTATGGCGTATATCGTTTACGGCAAAGTATTGTCGAGAAAAACAATCATTACAGTAAAACTTAAAGTATCACACGCAAATGAAGCACCTTAAAAACGTTAGTTTTGTAGGAAAATTAAATTAAAAATGTTATAGAAATTGATCACGACTGCTGGCTGCTGGCGGCCAAGAAATTTAGTAAAATACCAGAGTAAACAGTATTGCCAACTTCGCTTTGTATTTATTTTTTATAATTGATGGGCAATCCTATAAGTACAGTGTGCCTAAACGAATAAATATAAATATTAATTGAAAATTATTTCATAAGACCGAAGATGTAATAAAGTAAAATATAAAGGGTATAACTATGAAATGAAATCTCTTTGCGAACAGATAGAATTTGTTGAGCCGTTAAAGCACAGGGTGTTCTATTTTGTTTAATTTGAAGTGTGAATATTTTCATGTATATTTATCGTTATTCAATCATAATTAAATTTAATTATAAAATTTATTTTATTTTTAATTTTAAATCCCAAATACCGAAAAAAATTAATTACAAAGCAATAATTAAAAATTACAATTTAAATTTTCGTATATCACGTTCTATCATTTTGGTTATCGAGTTGGCAGAGAAGTCGACCCAGTCAACCAGCTATGACTGTTTACTCATTATTGGTTATATATTATTCCATAATTCCATTAAGAAAAAAAACACAAATTCTCAACATTCCAAATAGTTTTTCTTTTCAATTTATTTGAGTATTTGTCTATTTAATTTAATGCAATATGTATTTTGGAATATCTAACGATGATAACTTCTTGAATACAGCATGGCAATAAAATCGATTTTTTGAGTATTGTACGTATATTTTTATTATTTATGTATTGTGTAACTGTTTTTTTGGTTGTTTTGAGTTTTGCTTTAACATTTACACAATGTTTATGACATAATTTTCTGTGTAACATATAAGTATATATGTATATTAATTTATTATTTATATTTGCTTCAATTATATTGACTTTCAATCAGATTATCATAAACTTAAAATTGTTATTGGCAAAGTAAACGATAAAAATTAAGGAGTAGGCTATTTTTTTTTACTTGATTATAATATGTAAATACAATTTAGTATTTATATATTCATGTGTAATCATTGTTTTCAAATCATATGCATACTATTGACTCATGCGTGCGTATGAAAAATATTCTATAAATTATTTCTTAAAGTTAGTATGCTGTAATTATTAAAGTGAAATTTATCTCTTTTATGTTTTATATTCTTTGTTTTTAGTTTGTTAGGTACATTTTTAAAATGTAATACTTTTGTTTTTGGTTTTCTTTTTGAATACGTGGTATGTGTGACGGTTTCATTTTTCTTTTATATCAAACTTGTGATTTAAAAACAATTTCATATTTCTRGTATGCAATATATATAACTGTATGTATGTTTTTCAGCTAGCTACTCCATATAGCTCACACAGATATGAATATAAGGATATCCGTTATTTGGACAAGTTGGTTCTAGTTTGCATTTGATATATGTAAAACTGAAACTACGTATAATTTTTAAAGTGTGTTTTTTGTTTAGAAAAATCATCAAAACCTTTATTGTAGATATTTGCAGTAGAATACAATTTTTTGAAGGTTGTGAGTTTAGTGGTTTAATGCAAAATAGCCAAGATAAAAAAAAATCCTTTGAGAAACAATTATGATTTAAGCACGGTTTAAATTAAAAAATCCTTTTCTGACTGAACGCAGTTTTAGCGCAAAAACTGCAACTTCAGTGGGCGCTTGAAAAAAAATCAACTTGTGAAATAACGGACACCCTAATATATATTTTTTCTTAATTCTGTGACTGTTCCTAGTTCTATTAATTTAATTTCCTTTGTTTGTATATATAATCTCTGTATTTAGTATATTTTTTGACAGCTAATAGTTAATACTTTTAGTATTGAATATGAACATACAAAAGCGGCTAAGTACAAATTCTTTTCACATTCATACGTGTGTATGTATGTACTTCGCTATTTATCTATATATGTAAATGTGTATGAAGTGTTTGTTGTCTTTAGTATATTTGGTGTATTTCTTTTGGTTTTATTTTCTGACTTTGTTAGTGTCTCTATGTACTTACTATGTATGCTCTAATAAATCTTTGGTATTTATTTCAAGTATTTGTATTGTTTTAGTATTAACTTCGGTCTTTGTTCCATGAATGCAGTTATACATATTCCGTATCTGTAAGTGTTTATAAAAATGTTGTTAAGTAACTTTTATAAAACTTTGAACCATTTTGTCGATTATTCTATTTTATTTTGTGCCAAATGACAACGACGATTGCGTTTGCTGCATTTGATATACATACATATGTATTTATCTACATAGCTTATATTAATAGAAAAGTGTGCTTGAGTAAATTAGATCACACATTTGGGGAATGTTTACATATATGTATATTGTACATCCTTATGGTGTATGGTATGTATGTCGATATGCGCACAAGCAAACTTAGCCTCACAAAACATGGTACATCTTCGCCCTAATTAATGACTTATCGAGCTTTTAGCATCAGCTACATAATAAACATAGTAAAATAGTAGATGCGCTCATTCTGTAGTAGTAATAAAATGAATTTATAGTTCAAACCTTCGGATAAATTAGGAAACGGTATCAAAGTTGAACCGTATATAGCAAACTTGTTGGAAAAGTAAAACAAAACATGAAATTTAAAAATATAGTGTTTTCCATGATATTTTATCCAAATGTTTGACCAAATTTATCCAAGCTTCACTATTTATTTATTAAGCATATATAATAGTTAATTTTCTTTTTTCAAACGTTATTTTTACACATATTTTATTGTATAGATGCTTTTGCACCCTGCAGGCAAATTTAGAATATCGTAAACCAGGTTGGGTTGCGTTAAATACTAAGTCAACTCTTAAATACTATTGACCTTCACTGCTTAGTTTCTCCATAGCAAGTCTATGCCAATAGTCTCTCATATCGTTGTTGTTATTGTCGCAAAGATGATCCCATTTTTAATTTTCTAAAATGGAAGTGCGTGTTAATCACTTCTTTTCTATATATCCATGCCATGCTTCATTTGGTTTTGCTCTTTCTTCCATTATTATTCTACAATTAATATTATATTTGTGATTCTGTTTCTTCTATCTGATACTGAAGTTTTATCTATCTTTCTGACCACCTCACCTTATTGCAATGAATAATTTCGAATATTGTGCCAAAATTTCAAGTCGTTGGGACAAAACTGACGAAGTTAAAAATATTTTTTTACTGGTTTCCACCAGATTTTCACTTTAAAGCGTTTTCCTTCAGCACAACTCACGTTTTCAAAGTTGGTGTTCCTCATAACTTCAAAACTATAAGGCCGATCACTTTCAAGATTTGATCATTAAGTAATTTCGTTTGATGAGAACAGCTGATTTTTTCGAATGTTTTGGCAACCAACTTCATACTTAACCGCTTTACCGTTATATATTAGAACAGCTGATATAGTAAGTTATGTTTGTAAAAAAATTAATTTTTGATCCTTTATCGGTTAAAGGAAGATTAAAAATAGCATTTGCGAATTTTGCTGTTTTTCTATCAAAAGGGTAAAAAATCCAGTTCAATCACGACGAATTCCGGCAATTTCAAWCTTGACGATGCACCACATCTTGGAACGACGCTTGAAGCCGATGTGAATAATGTATAGTCGTTGATAGATGCAAATCGTCGAAACACGACTAGATATAATTTCGAAACTTGACATATGATTCCTCATCTTCTTACAGAGCGAGATTTATTTCAACACTTTAACGGCTGAGATTTGCTTAGTAATTACTTTTTGAAGCGCATTCTTACTGGCGACGAAAAGTTGGTTATTTATAAGAATTTAAAACGCAAAAGATCATGGTCTAGCCACTCAAACCACTAAATCAACTAACGTAACGTAACTAAAATGTTACGTTGTCTATTAGGTGCTACTTCAAGCAATTGCTTTATTTTAAACTATTCTCCGATAATACTATGAATAATTCTGAAGTACAATGAGCTGRACAAATTGACTCTGACAGAATAGACCAGAATTGATCAATAGAAAAGATGTGGTGTTCCACGATGATAATACGAGACAGTGTACAAGTTTGATGACTTGCCTTGCAGCTTGAATGGGATGTGCCCACCATATTCTCTTAGTTTTACTATCTTCGTTTCTTTACATATTTCGATCTCCGAAAAATTSTTTTGTCGGGAAAACCTTCATCTGAAATCAGAACCTCAAAAAACACTTGAACCAGTTTTTTTGCCTGCAAAGATCAAACATTTTATGAGCGCGGAGTCAATCTCTTGGCTCATGGAGAATATATAATTTCATAAAATATTTTACTCCCTTGCCATATCATCTTTTTTCGAAATGAAAACTTAGTAGAACATTCTACGAATGTCATACTTTAATGTATCATTGGTTWTAATAAAGATATTTTACTCAATCAATCTTTTATAGTATGATGAATCTGTAAACTTTTAAAATACATTTAAAACCATTTTTCATGCAGGGTGCATTAACATGTTATATACTATGTATGTGTAATCAATTATATAATTTATTTATGCGACATAGCGCGCTATCCTGGCTTTCCCTAAATGCGATTCAAATCGAAAATAGATAAYTTTGGCTGATAACTATTATTACAATACATTATTATTTATATTAAATATAAATAATATAATCTATAAGATTTACAAGCATGTGAACTAATTTGATTAGCGCATTAATAACGTGATCGAATAACAAAATATTTATATAACCTCAATCTTTTGTTTTGTTGTTTGGTTTCTGCTTTGAACTTTTTGTTGTATTGTTCGTTGAGTGTCAACTGAGATTAAAGAGGTTATATCCACTTGTGAATTAAAAAATAATAATAATTTGGCATATAMGTATATTGAAAGTACATATGTATATTTGAGAATAATTCCCGAAAATTTGAAGTCGATCCTGCAAATAGTTTCGGAGATGTATGAGCGTAGTTGTAAGAAATTGTTTAAATGAACTGGAGGCCCGACTGGGGATCGGCTACGTTATCAAGGGAATTCAAAATTATTAAATTCTGTAAATTTATACTACTTTTATGTATTTTTAAATAAAATGCCTCTTCAAAAYAAAAATTAAAAAAACTTACAAGTGGATATAACCTCTTAAAGCGACTTCAAAACAATTTCCTAAAATTATTTATTCATAATTGTGCATAATGCTGTTAATTTCATCCACTCATATAATATATAAGTATATATACATAAGTGTATATATATATGTACGTAGCTATATAATGTTTAAGTACTAAAAGTTATTAACAAAACAATTCTAGGCGCCTTACTTGTGTTTGCTGGAGTCAATATAAGTCACACTGCCAGCGAGACGGTCAAGTGTATCTAATTTTCAACATTATATGCATGTGACTATATTGATAATTAATATAATAAATACATATTTTATGTTAATTTAACAAGATTATATATATATATATATATATATATTCCATTTTTGTGATAAATAATTTTTCTAAAATGCGAAATAATAAGCAGAACAACTTAGTTATATACTAACACACACATATGTATGTATGTATGCTTGCATTTATGTAAATATTCTATGCTTGTCTGTAAGCAAGTATGTATGTATGAAATTGTTAGCTAAAATTATTGCTCTTTACCGAAATCAACACGTTTAATATAAATATATAAATCGTAAGAAWGTTGTTCTTAACCATAAATGTTGCTGTTAGTAGGTACATTGCATTTAGAACTCGGTGTGATGTAAATTTTACATATAGTACRTACACATATTGGACAGTTGAGATACATACATCTGCCCTGCATCGCAAGTACATATGTATGCATGTCTGTATGTGCCTATATATACTATATACATATGTATGGCTGCGTACGTTATGTATGTATTTTTTCTTTTCTCTCTCACATATTTGTTTTTACTTCTGTTGTTGTATTCTGAAATTTGTTCAGTACTCATAAAAATACAAATTTCAATTCGCATACTTCATTATCAAACATTTCATAGCCGTAAATCTGTATATATTTATGTATGTATGTATACAGTATAACAATCATTAAAACTGTATGTGTATTTGTATATCCGAAACTATCATATGAAACTCGTACAAAATGCATATCACCACACATTACTTACATATAATCATTATCATCAAAATCATCATCACCAATATTATAATCGTCATTATAATCACCGAAATCTTCATAATCATTTTCGTGATCATCATTATCATTATCATCATTATCATTATCATCATCATTATCATTGTCCTCATCATCATTATTAGCATCATCATATTCATCATCAATCTTTATCATTTTATTCGTCATAAGCATCATTATCATTATGATGATCATTAAGTTCATTATCTTCACCATCATTATCATTATATTAATCATAATCATCACCGCTTTCATCAACGTTATCATTATCCCACAATTAAAAAGTGTACTTAAGATTATACGCACCTCTAACTAAGCTAGAYTTAACTATAGCACTTGCGCACTGACATACAAACATTCAATACACCAATACACCTGTAAACATGTATGTGYGCATTTTTGTATGCACCTTCTCTTAACACTGACTTAAACACCTATCATACATACAATCGTAACATATACAAGTACATATACTACATACATATAAGAAATGTGCGTCCTGATTACAATTTGCTTTTCACTTTGTATGCATTTGCTTCTGCTTCCCGTTATACTAACACACTACGTTTAGGATATGTATGTAAGTTACAACGCTCAATAGTACACTTTTAAGTGCGTGTATGTGTGGCGCGCTTTGTTTTTTTTTTTTTTTTTGCTGTTTGTAAGTATGTGTGGCTGTATGAGATTTTTAGTATAAATCGTAGTGTTTTGTTGGTGTTGTTGTTATTATTATTTTCCATATAATATAATATATAGCAATGTTAATACGAATAATCATTTATGAAATGGCTACTTTGTTAATCTTTCAATTATTTACTGTTATACTAGATTTGTTGTTATTGTTGTTGACTAATTTTCCTTTGCAGTGCAATTGATTTACTTAGTTTTTGTTGTAATTTCTTCAAATGAATTACTCAAAAATTTCTATATTTCGTCGAGGCGATGCGAGCGCACCGCCTAGTGAAGCCTCGGTTTTCTTTAAGATCGAGACATGATGTCCAGTGCCGTCACCCGTGCGAGTGTGACACGCAATTATGGAGTCCTGTTTGTTGAGAATACCGCGGCGTTGATCGGCGAAAGAAATAACAGAATCCTGCTTTACCAGCTGATGGCGTCTGGGTTCTATAAATAGCAGGAAAATAACAGAAAAATATATATCTCTATATGTTTTGTAGTGCCAGACATCTTTAAAGATAAAGTTTATATAAAAAAAAATATGGTGTATGTTTATCTTTGTATAGATGACAAGCGATTGCCACCCACTTTTTAAATGTTTCACTGTTTAAGGTCTAGAAATATTGATAGAAATAAATTGAGGCTTGCAGTTCTTTTGTGTCACACAGACTCACATAGGTGTTTATTGATAGTTTTCGAGACAAAAATAGCCACAATATTCATTACAACTTACTGAAATCATGGAACCAAAATTCATCTAACTACCCGCCTAATGGCTCTCATTCTACAATTTATGTAATAAAAATGAAATTTAAAGAAACATGTAGCCTAAAATATTAAATTTCCGAGTCATTATCAATGACATAAATTCTTATTTCATCAATATTTCAAATAGAAAATGGTGAAAGGGGCACTGGAACACGTGAACGATGCCTTAGAGAAGGTAATTCTGTATCTTTACGTTATAAAAAAGAAATACCTTATACGTGTTGTAGGGTTTACTTATGTGGTGTGAGAAAACACGCTTCTCTGTGGTAAGATTTAAGATACTAAACATAGTACAACAATATGTTCGATCACTCACCAGGCCTTTGATCCACAAATGAGATCACTGAGTCTTGTTTGACAAACTTTTGTCTTTTATATTCCAACATGGCGGCGCTGGTGCTGGGCGAACCATAATTGTGTGTATCCAATTTAAAGCTCGTTCCACGTCGTGAATCAATTGACATATTGTCTTGCGTAGAGCAGGAGTCCTGGCATTTATCCAAACCATTGCGTCTAGCATCCATATATGAAACAATCGAATCCTGTTTAGTTAGTGACATTTTCGAACCATTACTATCCTGCTGGCAGAGCATGCGACGTGATCCATCACTAGAGGCGCTCTCTTGCTTGATCAAAAACTGTCTCGAGCCATGTGAGTCTTGCTTCAGTAACATTTGCTGTGACAGATTGCTGTCCTGCTTCAACATGGCGTTGTGATGATGACGACGCAATGATTGATGCTCATAAATATAGGAGACTGCGTTCGTTTTACGCAAGCCAGGGCTGCTGGGACTCTTTCGTGAGCTATTTTGATGATAATGCGAGGACTTGCGTGTGCTGGTGGTTGACGAGGCAATGGCGACATTGTCATAATATCTGTAAAAAATCGGTAGGCCATAAGCGTCATATATATTTAAGAATAAATTGTAGAAGAAAGGACCTTATGCGGGCACAGCATGATCGGGATTGTATAATAGCTGCGAAGCCACGTCGATATTTTTTGTTGAAAAATGCATATAAAATGGGGTTGATGCAGGAATTGGAAGAGCCCAGCCACTGCGCGAAGGGTGTCACCTTGTAGAGTACTTCGCTTTCTTCGTTTGAAAGTTCTCCACCTGAAAAAAGTAAATAAAAGTTAACAATTAGATTTTAGTAATCCAGAAAAAGATTTTCCATATGAACTAACCAAATTTAATACGGGCGAAAATCACATATAGTGGCAGCCAAGACAATACGAACAATATAACAACTGCTACAAGCATTTTGATCACCTTCACCTTCGACTTCTGTTGCATCCGATCCATTTGTGCATCCTTTGAGTCGCCGGGAATCGAACGCGTCGACACCTTTATCCAAATCAACACATAGCACAGTGTTATCAAAGACATTGGCAGTAGATAGCAGGCCACTAAATGGGCTAGGAGGAAATATAGATTGCCATTTGAACCGGGYGGCCACACCTCCTGACAGAGGTAGAGGTTCGGCGCTGCCGGAAACGAGTCAGCGGCCGGCACGAGATCAAAGTATAAAAGCCAGGGTATTGTCGAACTTAAGGCAATCAGCCAGATGCATAATATCATGAAGCGTGCGCGACTCTTTGTCATCTGCTTAAGTGGCCACCAGATTGCAATGAATCTGAAAATGTCAAAAATATTTATGCATGCAATTTAGTAGCCATAAAAATGAAATTAAAAAGCACTGAAAAGTTAGCATATTGCTATTGGGAGGGCGTCATTAAAGTGGAGGTGAAATTATTGTCGTTTACGACTCCATTTCACATTGATGTCAACGGTTTACTGGTTTTGCACTGAAATATTATATAGCTATATACAGGGGGATTAAATATGAAGGAAGGCAATTACGAATTTAGTTCATTTTAGGGAAGAACCTTTAAGAATTATTATTCTTCTACTTAAATGCGAGCGTTTTTTACATTAGCTTCGCGGATAACTGAGAAGATATTACGCCTACAGAAAGTGAAGACTCCTTTCCAGTCCTTTCGTTGGAGGTCTTCCTCTTCCTCTGCTTTCCCCGGCGAATACTGCGTCCAATACTTTCAAAGCTGGATTGTTTTCGTCTATACGCACGACATGACCCAGCAAGYGCAGCCGGTGTCTTCTTAATTCGCTGAACTATGCCAATATCGTCTTATATCTCATACAGCTCAGCATTCCATCGAATGCGATATTCTCTGTGGCCAACGCGAAAAGACCACAAATCTTTCGTAGAATCTTTCTCTCGAAAACTCGTAACGTTGACTCATCCGWTTTTGTCATCGACCTGCGYWGAATKTCGAAGCTGACATTGTTGTTGGTGTTGATGATGRTTCCAAGATAGACGAAGTTATCTACCACTTCAAAGTTATGAWTGTCAACAGTGRTGTGKRATTCMAGTCGCGAGTGCGACGACTGCCAGACCWATTTGTTTTGCTTCCTTATTTAGCCTGGAGAAAGCAGAACTAACGGCACGGCACAATATCATCGGCATACGCCAGCTTTTACCTATTCGATTAAATTCTGCTACTCGAATTATTTTCTTTAGCAGCAGCTGGACGGAGTAGCACGATAGGGAGTCGCCTTGTCTGAAACCCAATAGGTCACAATCTGAAATATTCTAAACACAATTATTGAAACTTAGTTCCCAGGAAACTAGAACTAGAAATATGTATTTACGAATTCACAAGTCAATAACTTCACTTTTTATGACCTCAATGCTCTTTGATATATTATTTATTTGATTAATTAATTTGAAATGTATATATAACCTAATAACCCAATTCTAAGCCCATGCGACTAATTAAGCTAGTGATAAAATTCTAAGCGCTCTAACAGCTAAAAAACTCACTGTCCATGGAAAGCAACAAAATTTATGAAAATACTGAACTTGATCTTATTAGCTATCAATAACAGTGACTGAACAAAAAATCAGCGCATAAAGCAGTTACGGCATCGATCATCGTCCAGTGGAACAGCTGATTCGCGGGGTGAGTGCTAGGGCGGCCATTCGTACGTTAGACACATATGAAAGTATATACGACTAGCGACAGARCGATCTGGCTGCCCGTGTCATTGGCGCCAGTTGTTGCCACATTCATATGCTTACATATGTATATACACTTGCAAATATATTTCAGATGTACATATGTATATACAAGCATTTTGCCGTAGTTGTCAAATGCAGCTTTTGAAAAGTTACATTGAATAGAGCCGCAATGCCAATCTCCTTGGAGCCCACAGTAGACTAGATTAAAGCTTAGCGCGGCGCTGTCACCTCCACTACCGCTATAACAAACGTATTGGTATGCCGTTAACTTACTTTCCAGCGCTAACATTGACCGCGGTCGTCCAGTTTTACTTCAATTTAACTCAGTATAGTGGCTAAAATCGAAAATCGTCAAAATTGTATAAAAGCATTTGGAAATGCACTGAAATGCAACAGTCACATTAATCCCTCCGTTGTAATAACAACACACCTTCAAATATATTAAAATAKTTTCCACTTTTCAAAACCCCACACAAAATCAAAAATGTTCAAAATCGTAAGTATATTTTTTAGAAATCGAGGGAAATAATTATCCATCAATTTCTCTCTCTACTCCGATCTTCTTCAGGTGCTTGTAATCTCCGTCATCGCCTTCGCTTGTGCCGAGCCTGGTGTTGTGGTTGCTCCTGCCGTACCCGTTGCGCCGATCGTACATCATGGCGCACACGCTGTGCACTCGTAAGTAGTTACCGTTAAACTAGCTGAGGCGCGCGTTTCATATTTAAAGAATAGTGCGATGTTCTGGAGTTATCGAAAAAGTATCGAATATGAATATACATATAGAAGAATACATATGTATGTATTTAAGCAGATGAAAACCTTCGAAATAAATAATACCATTTATTCCAAATGCTGCCAATGACCAGTCCGCCTGTCAGCATCTGCACTGAGTTGGAAAATTGCATTCTTCTTTGTAGCCGTACTAAAATATTCATTGTATCTAAAATATTTTTCCCATTTTTCGGATTTTTTTTATTTTTTTTTTTTTTTTTTATTTGCTTAGCTTATTTTACGCACTCGGCGCATTTACTACGAGTATTAAGCATTTTCGCTTTTTTATTGCAGTCACGTAATTCATCATCCCGTGCCAGTGAAGACCGTCGTGACACCAGTCATTGCCAAGCCAGTGGTGCCACTTGTGCCGGTCGTAAAGCCGATTGTGCCTGTAGTTCCAGTCCATCATGCCCATCCGGCCGTTGTTGTGCATCACTGAGCGCCGGCAGCATGGCAGACACCAACGCCAGCACCCGCAATCATCCAGGAACGTTGATGAGGATCAACGAAAGAACGAATCGAAGTTAATCGAACGCAACAATGGCTCAGTGCATTAATATATGTAGATTACAAGCTCCCTACTTCTATCCTACTTCCCCTTCATTCTTACTTTAATTCTGTACTATGAATTCCCCGAAATTAGTTAAATACAACAAGCGAAACAACAATAAAATTGTGAAAATCATTTAGCACGCTATGTGTAAGGCAATCATGGCATGCATGATGTATGTATGTATATATGTATGTGTGGTTTGGTAACGTGGGCAGCGCAACGAAAGGTTGTTAGTTCTTGAACTAACWATGAACATTATTATATATGCGCAAATATTCGCAAAAAATCATGAAAGTGCAAAAAGTTGGTTGAAACATCGTGTTGCGTTTCACCTCTTTCGTTTTCCATTAACTTTTGCAAATTTGGTTTTTRTTGTTATTGACGATGACTTGTGCTTAAAAAAATATTATATATAGTATTTAATTATATTTATACAAGTAGATAATATATACATATATTTCAGAGCGCTTGTACCAGGTAATTCACCAACAAACTTCCGAATGCTTTCGGATAATTTGATTATCTAGAGATGAAAGTATTTTGGGTTCAGTAAGTACAATTTGTTAGGAATATACTCGACGTGAATAACAATTAGCGCAACTTCGTTGACAGAGAGCCAAAAAAAAAATTCTATGTAACCCAAAAGTTTACCTAACGTTTGTAATATAGCTGAGCAACTGATTTATATAAGAACGTGACTTGTGCCTGTATTATTACCTATATAAAGTGTAACACAGAGCAATTAGTTCGAATAACAAACAATTCAAGGAAACATTAAATCAAAATAAGAACTTCGGCTATTCCATACATTTAAACCACCAAATTATTTATAAAAGGAACTACTCAGGCATATACTATACAGTTGACCTTTGTAAATGCTGCACCGAACTTCTTTGGCTGTGTCGGACCTAGCCAGTTGGTGCTTGACTTTTTCGAACAGCCCTTTTGTATTCTGTATATTTAATAATAACTGTTTCTTAATGGGGTGCTATAAATTGTAACTACTTCTAAGTTTTGCTTACTTTTTGAAATATCGACCATATGTATGTTCTTATCTCCTTAATAAGCTGCGCGAAGCGTCGGTAACACTAATATCGAAATTCTTTTATTGTCTATTAACCCTCTACAATATTKTCCTAAATTTTCAAAATRATCGGAGTAATAATTCCGGAGATACAGCCTTGAGAACTTGTCCGCTCGAGGCTAGCTAGGCTAAGTGCTCCGCCTTTAAACGCGTTTTTCTCGAAACTCTGTTTTTAAAGTCGGTTCGCTAGATTTCTCGAGAACTACTCAACCGATCTTCATGAAATTTTACACAGTTCTTTGAGATATAATTCTTAAKRATTTTTTTTTCGGTTACAACTATTTGAAAAATAAAGTCGTGAAATTTTAATTTTAGGTGATGCTGTAAGGAGTTATCCTGCCAAAGTGGGTGCGTATTTTTTTCATGGGGTCATGGTCACATTTTTTTTTTAATTTCAGAATTCCTTTGTTAATAATAAAATATTTCATTTTTTATATGCGAAAAAATTGTTGAAAAAAGGCTATTTTACCCGAGTAAACCCATGTAACCCCTTAAATAATGAAATATTTTAAATTTAAGAAAAAATTTATATTTTTGTGTTGATCTAAATTTTGGTGTGTCAAATTCAAACCATGCCTATTTATCGATAACACATTCTTATATGTGTTGACGAAGACTATAATACTTTCCATAATTTTGTTATTCAATGCAAATGAAATTAATTAGTAGAACTCCCCACAGTGAAGCTAAGTACCGCCCCTTGTAATCAGTATACATTAAGCAAATGTATATATTTTATTTATCCATGGTTTAGAACTTTCTTATAAGTTTAATAAAATGTCTTTTTCTGTTTTTTTAACTGATTTGTATTACGCTTGGTCGAGATTATAGGCGGCAATGTTAATTTACATGTTGCAAAAGCCGGTTAAATTAAGGACTATTATGAAAAGTGGGTAGTGTGGGTAAATGCTTTACTTACCTATCCAGTGATACGGCAATTAGACTGTAGACGGATGCTGCCACAGATACGCCCTGTATGTATGGCACTGTCTTGCACATCAGCCAGCCCAGCATCCAGGCTAAAAGAAGAGCATTAAAACAAAAGCAATTAATTAGAGTAACTGGCAATGAGACAGACAATTAACATAATGGGAACATTAATACATACAACTGTATATATATTCTTTAAATATATGGAGTAATATACTTTTTGTTTTATATTTACTGCTTTAATGTTACGCATTTTATTTTAATAGTTCTCATTATGGCATAGATATTTATATCAGATTCGTTTGGTTTATTATCGAATTAGCGCATATGTAGTACTAATAGAGTATTGAATTTTATAACTGTTAATGTCAGTGATTTGTCCCCTCCACATAATAAAACATATTAAAAACTGTATCTGACGATAATTGGACTTTGGATTTAATTCTGCACAATTATTTTTAATATGTTTTAAGACCCTTCCAATAGTTTTTTATACCTTGAATGGAGTTTATTAAGCTTGAAATTTGTAACAGGGAGAAGAAAACGTTGGAGACCCTATACAAAGTATATATGAATGATCAGTTTGATAAGCTAAGTCTATTTGGCCATGGCCATCTGTCTGTCAGTATATAAGCGAACTAGTCGCTTAGTTTTTAAGATCCCGATCTTTTATCTACAAAAAACCACAATATACTCCCCTCGATTTTTATATAACCTTCAAAATTTCTACCAATAATTAAGAATTTTTTAAGAATTTTCAATAATTTTGTAGACAAGTCTATGAAAATTTTAGATTATATTATTTTTACAAATGTTGTAATGAATTTTAATATTTTTTGTCGTACCGGTAGAAAACAGTACCACAATATTTTTAAGGAATAGATGATAAAAATCATTTTTGGTTCCACTTTTTTCGCTAGCTACGTGTGAGAATCCCAAGGGAAAAGCTCAGTTTCAAAGTTATGTGTCTTGCGTTCGTAGCAGTCTACTATACCTACACACACAATCACATTATACACATACTGTATAAATTGAAGATGCATATAAATCAAGCAAGAATCCCGTACACGTAAAAGCCTTATCAGCAGAAAAGTAGATGAAGTGTTCTTGACTTTGCACCTACTTATGTAGATGCGTCGAGTACATTTATCTGCTGTATATAGGTGTATGCGAGTGTGTTTATTATGTACTTGTATGGCACGTTGCTTTCTCAAGCCTGCTTTAAAATGTCATTCAACAAATGTTGCGTATACGCCGTGAAGGACGAGAGATGCTATTTCATTGGCATTGATGAGCCATGCATACAAAAATATAGATATAAGCTTTTTTTTTTGTATGCGTGGGTATGCATGTGTATAYGTTAAATATGTGCAGGTGAACAAAATGTCATTACCTCCAAAGTGAGTTAAGAGCGCAAAGAAAAAAAGATGAAATCACATTCTTAATACTTAATTACACCTGAGGTTAATATGTGTCCTTAAGGACGCTGGACAGTAACAAAGTAATACCTATTAAATCGTTGTGATATATGTGGGGCTATATAATTTGACTAGCATTTAAATTAATGCTTGTAAAGGCAATAAAAGGCACGTGTGCTAAAGTGATAACAAGTTACATAACAAGAGTTATTTACTAACATAAATATTAACCAAAAAAGTATTTGCCGAATTTAAGGCAAAATATAGTTGAAAATGTTTAATAGTTCAGTTTTGTGTTTTGTCAAAATTTCGTCAATATTGAAATCGGGACAACAATAACAATTAATTTACAGCAACTCAACTTATTAAAATACTAAAAAGCGCCTAAATGTAGGCAGCATAGGCCATACATACTTTTTAGCGCACAATGTCGGGATCTAAAATAATTTTAACCTTTCACGCGTTAGTTTTGTTTGCTAAAATTTGAAATAAAATTATTTGCTTAAAAAAATTCAAAYCATAGAATATAGTTCTGCTAAAATTGATTATCTCTCACGTGGATTACACAAATGGGAAAAGCAATTTCGGTGTAAATTCACCGATTACCAACTGAATACATTCCTCAGCCAATGTATTCCAGACAACAATTTCCGTTGGCAATTAATTTTTATGCTCTCGCAACAAAGTTGATAAAGAGAGTATTATAGTTTTGTTCACATAACGGTTGTTTGTAAGTCCTAAAACTAAAAGAGTCAGATATAGGGTTATATATACCAAAGTGATCAGGG